ATATGTATTTTTTCTCTCCCATACGATAATTAATTGTATGAAAAGCTGTGATTTAAATATAACACTAAATGCTATTATTATTGAAAACGTTAGCGAAATGTATAATTAGCGGTCATATGTTGGCCAACGTATAGCTATTAATAATATTTATGCATAAATTATAAATTTAATGTCTCGGACAGAGAATCAGATCCAATGATATTTGTTTGGAAATAGTTTATTCAATTAATATAATAGACTTACTATTATTTATACAGTATATTATTAATAATAATAGTGTATATAAAAATTAATGATATTTGTATTTGTATTGATATAAAATATTTTATTTAATTCAAAGAAATATTTATAAACGTTTAATATTAAGTACAATTTAAGTGAGTATATAAAAAGATATTAATCATATTACATTGCATACATACATACATGTATATTTATAGTTTTTCTGTGCTCTCCTTATGTATTATTTACACAAATATTATGATTAATATTTTATTTCAAATATAACTCAAAAGAAATAAATATTATTTTGAATATTAAAGTGAAAAATAAAATAATTATAAAAAGTGACAATCATTTTGACTTTCTTTGCTTTTATTTTAATTTTTATCTTTTCATGTCATTTATAGTTAAAATGTGTTTTTATTGTGATTTCAAGTCATGTCTAAATCTGAATAAAAATAACTTCAAATGTCTTAAAGAGTTTTCAAAAATACCATAAAATTAATTATAATTTTTTAATGTAAGTCTTATTTGGGAAATAATATTATTATTTTAGGTAAAAGCGACACATCTTTTCTAATTAAAGATTTGTCTCAACAGAATAATAGTGTGTTTTGAAACATAAAAATAAATTTACCATGAACTGTCTGTAGCACAAAGCCTAAAACAAACATAATTAGTTTATTAAGTTATTTATAAATTAAGTAAAAATGATATGCAAGATCAATATAGTACAATTTACTAAAACTTATCATGGTAACTCATTATATTTTAAAAGTTGATTTAAAAAGTTTAAGTGATTTTAAAAAAAATGTTCTTCATTGATTTGAAAAATATTCTGGCAAATATTTGTTCCCTAATGGTTTTTACAGTAAAATAACCTCGAATTTTCTGCCCACTTTGTGCTCAATATAATGTTAATAATTGTGAGGGTTGAGCACAGGTAGGCATACTGTAGACAGTGTAAAGAATTGAGTTACCATGTTTGTTAAACATTTCATGTTTAAAGGCATCATGTTTGATTTTCCACTTAATTGTATTGTGTAAATGTAGCAAAACGTATATTATTTTGTATAATAAATTGTATATAACATATTGTATTTGTATTTTGTACATTTATATTTAAATATTGTGTATTGAAATGGAAGTCTCCTTAAAAAACTAAAATATTAAGTATTTAAATTGTTTATTGATTTTGTTGTTAAAATAACAATACATTATTACAATAAATATGGAATTTTTACCACTCAAAATGTTCCATGTTTGTTTTCTAACTCGTAAGTATAAAGAATAATTTTCTCAATATTTTTATATTATTTGATATAATTTATATTTATATCATATAAATCATTTTAAATATTCATATTTTTATAAATATTGATTATATAAATATTGATAAACCATATTATAAATCCTATTAAATAAATTAAATAGAAAGAAACTAGTCTTATATTTTGAAATTAACTATTCATTAAAATTAATTAATTATTTTAATAATTTTCTACATTTTAAAATGAATTTAGAGCATAATTAGCTAATTAATAAATAATTAATTCTAACTAGTAATTATATATAACGTTCACAAACAATATAAACAGTATTTAAATACAAATTCGTTGTAAATGCAAAGCTATTCAATACTTTTCCTAAAAATTACTAGAATTGGTTTGAATATAACGAAACAAATCAATAGATTGTTATAATGAGCGGCGAATCGATGGAAAAGTTGGCGAAGAAGTTAAAGCCGGAAGAGTTGGCAAAGTATGAGGAGGTGTTCCGCGTGTTTGACACGTCAGGAAAGGGAGCGTTTGGTGTGAAAGAGCTGAAGAGAGTGATGCTCTTCTACGGCATGTCTGCCAACGAACAACAATTGTATGAAATGGTCGCTCAGATCGACACCATTAACAACGGTTTAGTCACTTTCGAGGAGTTTTTGGCCGTCTTTTTGCACAAACTGTCGGACACCGAGAAAGAGGATGAGATGCGAGAGGCGTTCCGAGTGTTGGACACTAACGGCAATGGTTTCCTTCCCGTTCCGCAACTCAAACGCCTGATGACTGAAACGGGCGAAAAGTTGTCGCCCGAAGAGTGGGATCAACTCCTCTCTCAGGTCAGTATGGATGACAACGAAGATCTCAATTATGAGGAGTTGATCGCTATTTTGATGTCCACTCAGAACCCAAAGTAGTGCCCAATGTTTTGATTGTATCTCATATTTAATTCTTATATTTAGTTAAATGTATAATTTCTGCAATTTTTTGTTTTGTAAATAAATTTGAATATTAAATATTTTAAATACATTTTTGTTATAATATTGTTTAAATGAATTAAATATCAAAGAATCGTAAAATGCTATCCATTCATAAAAATCACTCATTCAGTGAAATAATTCACTATTTATAAAATAAATTATGAATTGTAAATGCATTCAAATGTTTGTAATCAATATACAATATAAATGGGAATTTAAAATTCATTCAATTTTTGCAATTTATTTCACGCAATATTCATATCGTATATCTCAATGAAAATTCTTCTTCTCGTAAATTATTTATATGCCTATCGTTTGTGACACAAAAATATTCGTATTTAAATAAATTTCCACAAAAATAATCAATAATTTAAGAAAAAAATTCTATTGGGACCAAGATTACTTTGTGTGAATATTTTTAATAAAGTTACAACCATGGTAGGACTGGTCGTATTTTAGCTATGTAGAGCTAACTTTTAGAAAATAAATAAATGTCAAATAAGTTTAATTAAATAAATCTTTAATAAAGTTAGAATTACTTTCTATTTATTAATTTAATTAAAATTAAAAATTCATTTATTAATAAATAATAATAATAAGTACAATAAAATGTTGTTAAAATCAAATAATTAATTTATCTAAATCTATAAAATAATTTAAATGTTTAACGAATTGATATTGTAAATAATAATCTATAAAACATCAATAATAATAATTAATAATAATATGAATAAAATATTAAATGTACAAAATAATTAAAATGTAATCATGTATTAAAAGTGTTTTCAGTGAAATCTTTGATGTCAATCATTATTATATCTTAACGACTAGTTTTGTAATCTACGGAAAACACATATAAAATAATGACATTTATGTTGTAATAAATTAAATACTTTACAAATACTTTGTGTTTATAATATTTATATTATGGATCTGTTTAACAGAGAGAACAGGAACTCAACAATAATTCATGTAATAATAATTGTAATCATAATAATTATAATAAACCATTGAATTTACGTATCATTTGGTTTTCGCGTTCAGCACTTGGGATACCAATCGTTTGGGAAAATTAATTAATTCAATATTTGTTCGCTTTCTTTGGGCGACAAACAAATTAATACTAAATAATTACTTATGAAATATAATATATTTAAACTTCTTTGTGTTTAAATTTAAAGTATATATTATATTATATATTACTCTATAATTTTTGGTATATTTTTAAGTATCAATTCAGTGATTGCTTTGACATCGAAATAATGATAACTATTGCCTAAAAACAAAGCTATTAATGGGGAAAAAACATAATAATAAGTGATAATTGTTTTGTATTTTTAGGTAATTGATATAATTATGTACTAATATATCACAGATCCTATAACTCAATAATTCTAGATTTGGATAATGTTTTGCGTTTGTGTAGCAATTGATGCGCTTCTGTATCTATGGGTGACATCGCGTGGTCGGCGGCGCCGGCTATCAAACCGGTCCTCAGATTACTGCTCAGGTGTTGCACACCTTTGGCGATACGCGAGAGCGGAGACAACACTAAGTCTTTCTTTACGTTTAGCGGCGGATTCGGGAGGTTTAGGGACAGACCCGACGAGAAGTCCTGCGAAACAGTAAAGACACAAACATATGGATTAGTTTTACAGTTAAAAGTAATTTTAAATGTAATGAAATGAAAAACACAATAAATCTATTGAAAAGTTTTTGTATGGATGGGAAGAAGTGGGAGGAAAGTGTCAATTATACACATGTAATACAATACACCACATGTGCCACACATTGTATGGAAGATAACATCTATTGTGTGAGGGATTAAACAATTTAAAGACTTTTCTGATCTAACATTAAATGAAGTTTTGATTAAAAAATGTTTTCTAAAATGAAAACAAGTTTTTTTGTCCTAAAATTATCGATTAAATGACACAAATTGTCGACAAATACTTAAGCTTATAGAGAGATATTGGGGCCGCTGGTGGCCGCCAGTACCCAAACAGTGCTAGGTAGTTCATATGAATTTCTCTGTGCAGGAAACATCTATCTCTTAATATTTTCATAGCTGTAACGCATTGTAAAGCATTAAAATAAATGCATTATAGTTTAAAGAGATAGGTGTTTCTTGCACAGAGAAATTCATATATAGTGTACACATTTAAAATGGGATTACCCTGATCGTATTATTCGAGTCATAGTTTATAAAAGAATACATAAAATTCATATACAAAATGATGACTGACTTGAATAGCGGTTTCGCTGTGAGAGGTCTTCATCTTATTGTAGACATTGAGCGAATCGGATGTGACGGACGAGTCTTTGCTGCTAATGGAAAGGGCGGACAAATCGTTGCGATTGTTGAGAGAGGCGTACGACTCGGCCGCGCGAAACACCGGCTCATTGGCCACCGATTTGGTCGCCCGATTCGTTTCCATCAACACTTCCGACGACTTCGACAGAGACTTCTTGTTTTTGGTGGCAAACGATTCGCCGCCAGAGGAGGCGACAGACACGGAGCTGACCAACAGCTCACTGCACGACACGGTGTCGTCGATATGTATGAGTGGTGTCGACGGGTAGGCCCTCATGTCGGCGGCGGACGACAGGGATGTGGAACTCTGGGACGCCTTTCGGTGCAAGTGCTTCAACGACGCCCTCTTCATGGCGTCCAACACAAAGTCGTCCACTTCGGCGAACACAGACTTATTGGACGCCTTGATTACCATCCCTTCGCTATCTGTTGGCAGAGTTATGTCCGTCAGGTGCGGACTCGTCGCCAAAATACCGCAACTCTCGAGCACTCGATCGGAGTCGACGCCTCTGTTTGACTGGATGTCTGCCGATTCAATGGATGCGTCGCCGCAGAGCTCCTGGTCGTCGATATCGCTGCACTCGGAGTAGTCGGAGCTGAAGGTGCGTTCGCTCGAGTGGACACTGAGGGGTAAACTTTGTTTCAGTATCCGCTGCTTCTGTAGGGTTCGCAACGAGTCCTCCTCTTCCGAGTCCTCTTCGCCACTGCTCTCCACATTGAAGGCGACAGAAGTGGCGCCCGGTTTGGCCGTCGCTGACGGCAACTCGCGTATGGTTTGCGGCTTCTCATTGGCCGTCCACTTGCCCTTCAGGCGACTGAACTGCGAGCTGAGGCCAGTGATGGCTCGCGAGCCAACGGACTTCAACGTCAACAGCTGTCCGTCGCTGATATTGCGCGGGATTTGATTCACTTTCAATAGGTTCGAGTTGTGGGCCAAACCGCGGTTCGCGTGAATCAGTTTACTCTTACGTCTGTCCAGTTTTCCCTCATAGAAGGGAACGTTCAGCTCTTTGACACTGAGGGCCACTTTGAAGGACTCGCAGATGGCTTTCAGGGACTCAACCGCTTCCTCCACATTGCGTATAGCAATCGCCATATTGTTGAAGAAACGGGTGTTTGTCGAGCGAAACATATGAAAGTAACCGCTCTGGCCATCGATGGTGTAGTGGAATCGTATGCAACAGCTCTGACTCGACTTCATGGAGAAGATCTGATTGGGTTCCGAACCCAACTCTATCTTCTCGAGGTCTTCGAGCAAAACCTTCTGGTATTTGATGATACGATCGGTTTGATCGTCATATTCGGCCACATAATAGCAGTCTTTGGTCAACACTAGAACTGTGTCCATATCGGTGTCGGTCACCGACGACGAGCCGGTCACCGGATCGGCGTCCACGAGCGGCCAACCGCCTAATATCACTTCGTATTCGGGGATCAGTATCTTCTTGCAGTCGTCGATCACCATTTTGACCCTCTCGTGGTGTTCCTGCTCTGAGAACGACGACAACACCGATCCGTCCACAGCGTTGTCGTTGCCGTCGGGACTGTTCAGGTCGTCGCTGACGGTCAAGCCCTGCATCAGATCGATCACCGCCTGCCGGTAGGCGTCCTTAAAGCGGTTCAAGTAATACCGATTGGCCGAGTGGTAGCCGTCCCGCACGACACCAGTGAACCGGCGTTCGCCCGTACGGGTGAAGTCGCCCTTCAGCGCAACGGTTCCCGCGTATTGGCGGCTAATAATGTCGCCATTGTTGGCCCACATCATCTGAAATATGCGCCGACAGTTGGCCGACAGCTGGCCCTCGGGTGGCAACAGACCTAACCGTACGAACTGCGTGTCCATCACTGTGCGAGCGATGGCCGTCATCACGATATTGGTTCGGTCTAAACAGTCGATGCAATTGATCCGAAAGACACCCCTTTGTTCGCATATAAGGCCTTCGCTGTCTGTCCAACAGTAACGCATGTCTTTGATTATCTCTCTGACGGAGTCGATGAGTACCGACACGTTCTCGAAACGCATTCCTCGACAGTAGTCGTGGAAATCGAACGACACGTAAGAGATGTCTGGACTGTCGAAGTGGAGGACGTGGTTGAGATAGGCGTCGGCGATGATCTTCTCGCGGCCCGACTTCTCCACTAAACTGACGATCACTTGATTGCCGTACAAATCAAACTCGTCGTTAAAGTGCTTATTGAACGCCAATTGGGTCTCCTCTTCGTTGCGGTCAATACGCGGCGGAGGTCTGTATTTGTGGCCAATTTGGGACCAATAGATGGGAACCGATCCGCGGACGGCCACGAAGGAGACCACATGCGAACCGAACTTAAATATCTGTTCCGTTTCCACATAATTAGCGCACTTTCCCTTCTCGTCGACGCCGCGCCGCTTATACCGCGTGCCCGCCCGGAACCGACTCCTCCTCGAGATCAGTGTCATTGTGTAGAGCTCTTGATGGCACTGAGCGTTGGTGTCGACGGGCACTCTCACGTCCTCCAGCGACTTGCAATCGGTGGTGATGTTTGCCGTGTCGTTCAAATCGAGAAAACAGGTCTCGATCTTCACGTAGCCCTGAATGAGGGGCAAAATCCACGGGTCGACGACAGCGCCGGACGCCTCACACTCAATGATCGGCCGAAGCATCGCTTTGTTCCAGAAGAAGCGGTCGTCCACTCGGCGCCAGAGGGGCCGCCCATTGGCCGTCTCGTCGTCGCTCAGCTTCTGTTGTCTTTGCTGTGAATTCGTTAAATCACCCGAAAGTGAATAATAAAAAGACTCGGTTTCGGTAAACATTTTGTACAATTCCTGTCAAAAAACAGTATAATTTAGTTTAAATTGACGACCAGTTTATGGGCATAACAGCGGCGATCGTGTCCTCACATCAATCAATCTCTTTTCAGTCTTGTCTTTGGACTCGTTTTGGTTGTTTGGATTAATTCTGGCCACAACTCGCGGCTTCACGTGAGAGGCCGTCCATTTGATCTGATTCCAGGTCTTCTGCACACCACTGGACGGCTGGTGCGGCGCCACCGCCGCAGCCGTCGGTTGTGTCTGCGATTGAGCCGCCAATTCAGTGGCGGCGGGCGTTGTCTGGCCTTCGGTGGTCAACGGATCCGACACGGGTTTCGTACAGTTGTGTGAACTGCAGGGCTGTAAACAATTGCGAAGACAAACGTACAGTAAATACAATACAAAAAGTGGTGCTCAAGACATACGTCGAGCGCGATGTCGGCGGCGATGGGTTCGGCGGCCGAGAGGTTAATGATAGCGATCTTTCGTATTTTGAATACATTGTGATTGTGGGGCAAATCGCCGATGGATTGGCTCTCTTTGATGAGCACCAGTTTGTCCGCCTGGAAGACACCGATCAGACCGTAGACCAGACCGTGACATACGAACGACTCGTACGACGCGTTGTCGCTAACTATCGGAGAGAGAGAGAGAGAGAGAGAGAGAGAGAGAGAGTCAGAGGAATAAGTGAGTGATAATCATAAGTCATGTCATCGGCGGTGAAAACACACGTACCGATAATGGGCTTAAATGGCGGCTCCGAGTGGTGGCCACCGCTTCCTCGCGAGCACCAGAGGCTGTACTGGTTCTGCCTTAAGACCACGTAATCCGCGTTTGACAGCACTTCCATCGCCGCCATTCTTGTCGTTGTCTTCCTCGACGGTGCGAATGACTCGTTGTTGTTGTTGTTGTTGTTGTTGTTGTTGTCGTGTCTGAAGTGTTGTGTGAGTGAGTGGTGTGTGTCGTGACTGTCGTGACCGCCGAAGACACGACACAATCAATTAAAGCGATCGTTAATTATAGCGACAAAAACATTACATAACACAACATGTGATGACAAAAGTCAACACAAATATAAGGTATAAATAAATAAACAAAACAAACAATCGATTCAAATATAGTGTTGTATTTAATTGATTAGTAAATAGTGTTGTAATCACTGCTTATATAACATAATTGTATTTGACATATGAGTAGACGATTTCATTCATAGGTTTTGTACAATCAATGAGTATTTTTGGTTTGATTTCTTCGCTATAATAAAAATAATTTGACTCAACATTTGTTTGACATTTGAGTAATATTTGAAAATTATTGTCAATTAATGATTACGTGAATGCATTGGCAGTGAGTGTCTGTCACTCGCACTCACTGTTGATGTAATATCACAACTGAAATAACGCACTACAGTCTCACTCACTCTACACAACACACACTGTATTTAGTAATACTCAATGCATATGCAATGTATTGCTCGCTAGTGTTGCCAACTGTCACACACCTCTCATACAGTAGTGTTAGCTAATTGTTATGAAGATATTATTTTCTGCTATATCTTGGAATATTGTACTCAAATTCATTTTAAACGCTTTTAATAAACTACCTTGATAATTGTATAAATAAAATTAAACAATTGATAACTAACTCTACCTATTAGTTGCATATTATTATTTTCAATATTTTTATGTTCAACTTATTGTTATTTTTTGAAGGATATTTTCTTGACAAGTTAGTTTAGCTAATAGTTATAAGTCCAATAAATATTTTTAATTATTTTAATCACATTAATTTTTAAAAGATCATTGATTGCTTTAAAATAAAGCTCAAAATGATACGTATGAGTGCAGAACTAGTGTTCATCCTATTTGGTAGAAGTCATTGCAACACTATATAGCGTTTCGATGGCAACCAATCAACTATATTAGACATATTCTATAGCATTCTGTTAGCTATGTTTTGTACAGTGAATGCGAGCTAACACTTATCCATAGGCTTAGGATTATTGAATCGATTGAATAACTTGTTATTTTAGATTAATACGTTTATAACGTTGCATAATATGCATACTTAAACTTGAATATTTGTCAACATGTGCACTTTTGATAGCTAGATCATTTTAATGTTATTCGTGTTAGTTTGGTTTAATTTGAGAATATTCTAACTTTTTAACATTAATTATAAAAGGGTTTGACTGTAAAATCCGGGAATATATTTCATGTCTCCAACAGTTGTCATAATAATAGTTAGGATTTATATTCAAAATTTTAATTTAATATATTTTCTGTTTATTTAGTACTGCTTTACAAAAAGGAAATCTAATTTTAAATTCATGTTTAGCTTTAATATTATAACAAATGAAGAGACGAGAGAGGAGAGAGAGAGAGGTTACCAACATTTGCACAGTTAATACAAAGCAGAAAATAAAAAGTTTCAAATGTTGTGTAAATTAAATGGGATTTTAATTATCAATTATAATNCTCATTAATTAACAATTGATATAATAATAGGAGTGAAAGAGGGATAACATTAATGCATAGGAGAGAGAGAGAGAGAGAGAGAGAGGAATAAATGAATTAACATATGAAATGAATGTGAATTCATATTCATTGTAGACAATGGTCTCGATGTGAGGGAAATGAAAGACAAACCAAAAAGAAAAGTCAATTCTTAATGTTTTTAGTGCACTATTTATACACATGTATTGTATGTATTGTTTTTTGCAGCAAATGATATGTTATTTCTTCACTTAATTACTCCCAGAATCGCGAACTGATGTCCAAATGAGATGACAGTAATAGTCTGTGTAATAAATTCTTGGCCCATTAAATGCCTTTTCCAATACAAATATAATGGAAATAATAAAATAAAATACAGAATTAAAGTTTACGTTTATATTTTCCCAATGAAAAACATTTGAAGTAAAGCATATTGTTTTCAGTATGAATATCACAAACACTAATCGCTAAAACAATAAATTTATCATGCATAACATTTAAAAAAGTGATTAATGTAATTGTATGCACAAAGTAACTATTTGCGCTACATTATATAATGTTTGTTATCTACCCGGGGGTGTGTATAGTATGAGATCAGGTGATGCCAACGTGGTCTAAATTATACACTGCCAAAGCCATCTGCACCGATGGTCTTACATTCACCCCGATGTGTGTGATTATGTAGGAGTCGTATCCGCCATAACATTATAATTGATAATTAAAATCCCATTTAATTTACACAACATTTGAAACTTTTTATTTTCTGCTTTGTATTATTCTCTGAATTGTGTTTTTCATTTCATTGCTTTTAACATTACTTTTAACTGTAAAACTAATCCATATGTTTGTGTCTTTACTGTTGACAGGACTTCTCGTCGCTCAGCTTCTGTTGTCTTTGCTGTGAATTCGTTAAATCACCCGAAAGTGAATAATAGAAAGACTCGGTTTCGGTAAACATTTTGTACAATTCCTGTCAAAAAACAATATAATTTAGTTTAAATTGACGACCAGTTTATGGGAATAACAGGTGGCGATCGTGTCCTCACATCAATCAATCTCTTTTCAGTCTTGTCTTTGGACTCGTTTTGGTTGTTTGGGTTAATTCTGGCCACAACTCGCGGCTTCACGTGAGAGGCCGTCCATTTGATCTGATTCCAGGTCTTCTGCACACCACTGGACGGCTGGTGCGGCGGCGCCGCAGCCGTCGGTTGTGTCTGCGATTGAGCTGCCAATTCAGTGGTGGTGGCGGGCGTTGGCTGGCCTTCGGTGGCCAACGGATCCGACACGGGTTTAGTACAGTTGTGTGAACTGCAGGGCTGTGTAAACGTATTGCGAAGACAAACGTAAAGTAAATACAATACTAAAAGTGGTGTTCAAGACATACGTCGAGCGCGATGTCGGCGGCGATGGGTTCGGCGGCCGAGAGGCTAATGATAGCGATCTTTCGTATTTTGAATACATTGTGATTGTGGGGCAAATCGCCGATGGATTGGCTCTCTTTGATGAGCACCAGTTTGTCCGACTGGAAGACACCGATCAGGCCGTAGACCAGACCGTGACATACGAACGACTCGTACGACGCGTTGTCGCTAACTATCGGCAGAGAGAGAGAGAGAGAGAGAGAGAGA